AATGCTCTACAGTTGTACACTGTTGTAGAGACTGATGCAGCACATAATGATCCCCATTAAGATAGTTGTGACAGACTACTCGGTCACCCTGGAATGGTACATGTCTCCTAACCAAAACTTTCCTCTAAGAAGGACTATATTCACCCCATTTGCCTCTCCAGTCTGTACCTCCCAGACAAACAGACAAAAGAGTCATCATAGACCTGCAGGAAGCTCGTAGAGGCACCGTGTTCCTGGCCAGAAGCAACCTCCAAGTCCTCTAGAATTCCTGATAGGATTGCAGAGTTGCCCATGTCCAGTAAAACCTTGTCAAGCGTGCTCTCGGTCCCAGAGTCACCTATCAGAGGGCTGAATGGAGGGGTGATAGAGGAGGTGGTGAGGACTTGAGGGAGCTATATGTACTAACAGAAATCACCATAATTTTAGGTGACCGGGATTTCCCACCCAGTGCTGTGGAACTCGGTGCCAGATCGGTGGATGATTGCAACCTGGTTAAAACTTTATTTCCAGCTAACTTGGGCCAGCAACCTCCGATGTGAGTGCTTTTTGGACAGAGTGAGCACTCAGAAGAGAGCTTCCCAGGAATGGCATTTGTCTAAGAATGTGGGCATGGGAACCCTGTTTTTTATGTTAAATTGCTAACTGGTGCAGAGGTGTCTGCCCACTAATTAAATTATCTGGTCAGACACAAACACCTAGGTGCCAGGTAGGTTGCAATGTACATTGTTTTCCTGGGGCCTCCTGTTGAGGAAACAGGTAGGAAAGTGTGTAATTTTCCCAAGAAAATCAGTTCTACTTTACACTATACTAAGTCTTGGCTAGTGCTTGGGGTGAACCTGCTCTAACAGCTATAAACATTATACTATGCTCTGTGAGTTATAATAACTGAGGAAAAGGAAGTCCTTGGTGGTAACACTCAGGTCCCCTGCGAGTAGGTCACCACATCTGGTTGCAGTGGTGGGATAGTCCCTTTTCGTGGAACTGGAGAGCGATCCTGGAGAAGAATCATCAAGTCAGTGGATGGAGAAATCAATATTCATGATCTCAGCCATGGAGGGCAGTGCTGTGATAGAGAAAAGGTAATGTGACAAACGCTCCTTCCCATGAATGTTTGCCATGGACTCCTGGAGGTGTGTGAAAGCCGGCCTCCTTCCCACCAACTATGGTCCAGGTCTGAGACACCGTTTGGGAGTTACCCTGCCCAGCCGCCATTGATAGCTTTCCCTGGTACGGCACTTTCCTTTCATGCGAATGGAACAGAACGCTAGCTTCCTTGCGGCCGTTCGCAAGAACCAAACCCATGAATAGTCCATAGCAGTACTTAGCCGCGATCGCTCATTTCGTCATGTGGACTTTGTGTGTCCCCATTCACCTAGGCGGGACTTAGCTGCGAATGTTATGGAACTATTTTTGTGTTTGACTCACTCTGAAATCTGCCAGGAGAGCACTTCTTGGAGGCCTGAGACTAAGGGGAAGAAACGCTAACTGAGAGCCAGGCAAAGCACCCCGTATTGCGGCCGCAGGAGCTCCCGAAAGTTTAACACGGTCAGAACTTTAAAATGGTGGCATTTCCCCTACACTGCATGGATCTGAGTGCTATTTGGAGAACTTGGGCGCTCACATCAGAGCTATTTGGGGATGTATTATTTGAGGCGTTGCTGTGTGTTTTGTGATTTTTTAAATTTTTTAATGTTTTTTATGATAATTAGCTTACCGGTCTTTAACGCAATTATCTCCCAAGTCCAAAGATTCCTGTAAGTGTCCTGCTTGTGTTTTATACAATTGAGACTCCTTGCTGGGGTCTGTGCAAAACAGGCTGAGTTTGGCTCAATAAAATTAGTTGTACTCCCAGAACTATGTGTCGTTTAGTTACTGGGAGGGGAAGGGCTATTCACTGCTCAGCATCTTGTTCCAGCTCGTGAAGGATTCAACGGGGAAAGTCCTTCTTAGGACTAGAGCTCCCGGGACTGTGTGTTCTCCAGTCCCTGGGAGGGAATAAAGCGACTAGAGCTAGTCCCATATCCTATTCCAGGACGGAGAGGCTCCAGGAGGAACCCAGTCACGCCATGGCGACTGGGGCAGCAGCACCGAGGTTTTCCCGGGTTCCAGCTAGGAAGTGGTCCTGAGGAATCCAGCCAGGGTACAGGGAGCTCCGCTACAAGTAAGAAAAATACCTTTTCTCTCCAATCTGAGTAGGGGAGTTCAGAAACATAAACAGCCACTCCAGTACCACAGAGTTAGGAATAAATAGTGTTACATTAAATAAAGTTTTATTTGTAATTTATTTAAAAATGTCTCTGTCCTGTTTGTTTTAGAATTGTTTGTAGAGTCTTCCAGCAGTTCTAAACAATGTTCAGTCAATATATTCTGTGGCTAATCAATTAGACAATCACAGGTCGGCTATTCTTCTATTACACAGTTTTGTCACATATATTGACCAGAATAGTGTAATTGCATATATGTTAAAAGATTTATACCCTGGGACACTAGCCTGTCCAATAAGGCATCTCTTAAGGCATATAAATCACAAGGTGGCATTCCCGGTGCTTGTCTGATATTAATGTGGCAGCTAGTACTTCCCAAACCAGAATCTCCTCTTTCTGGCCATAAAATGTATGCTGTATGAAGAAGGATGGAGGCAAGCAGTGCCTTCGGAGTGTTCTTAAATCCGTGTGATATTGGAGCAATATAGCAGACAAAAAGACAAAACAGAATATAGTGTAGTATCTCTGGTAACTGGTGAATAAAATAAGAGGAATAACACAATTTTCTTGAGCTTATGATCAGCTCCTGATATGTACACTATATTCTGTTTTATTTTTATTTTATATAGTGGAGAATCCTCACTACTACAAAACTGTATACTAAAGGATAACACTTCCCATTGGCACCAATAGTAACTCACTGGCCTGAAATATCCTCCTGTAAAGAACCAAGTCAATCCATACATCCGCAGGCAGGGATTATACCGCCCATGCACACATATCTGCAGCTGATCATAATGTCCATAAAATTGTAAGTGTTATTCCTCTTATTTTATTCACCTGTTACCAGAGATACTACACTACTTTTTTTTTTTTTTGTCATCTATATTGCTCCAATATTACAGGGATTTGAGAACACGCTGAAGGTGTTGCTTTCCTGCATCCTTTACCATACAATATCTCTCAAAGCATGACCTATTACGACTGGATTCTGCAATAAACCCAATAAACTTAAATGCTGAAATCTTCAGAAGAGGCAGGATCAGGGTGTGCATGACTTTTCCCTGAGAACCACTATGTAGTACATAAGAATTATGAATTTGAAGTTTGATTTATGTATATAAAAAAAACTAACTATTTTCTCCCTTTAAAAGCTTGCCTGACGTTTTTTGAAAGTTATTGCCTAATTCCTTTGAAAAAAATGAACATTTTTATTTTACCCACACATGAAAAATTAAAAACAGTTTGCTGGATCTTGTTTCCTACGAAGAAGAAATATTTATCTATTTATGTGCATGTGTTTCTTCTTTTCCTTTTTTTTAGTGTTTTGTTTTTTTCATGTAGACCCACAAAAAAACAACATTTTTGTCCAAAATAGTTTTGCCTTCTATGGTGTAGTGCACAAACAGGCAGAAGGGAGGGCGAGAAAGACAAGGAAGTGCCAAAATTTTATTTATCATTTTAAAACATTATATGACTTTGAAGATAAACAATTAGACGTATACGTATCTCTTCCTTTGTTAGAAGCCCAGCACTGACCATATGGAAGTAATTTCCTCTCTAAGGAATGTTATGTAAATTCATTGTGGCTAAGCAATGTACTTTGCATTATGCTAACATATCATATATTTGAGGTCAGCATTTGATTAATGAATAGCTGCCTACCTATTGGCAGATCTGTGGCAGAAGATCTATCTAACATAGGTAGACTGTTCAACTGTGATATAAGTTAGAAATGCTATAGACTAAAACAAAAAAGAGATCAAATTAAAACATAATCAACAATATATCTATTTCCAGCTCTCAGTTCCAACCTTGATGCTCTCACTTATTTGGCCTCGATAAAACAGTCCCACTCCCACCAAAACTGCATACAAGCACTGTAAAAGATAAATCAACAGTTAAGCAGAACTTTCTTTGAAATATTCTTCATTCATTAAAAAAAACACACAAAACATTTTTGTTTTAAATATAATCTCTACTGCACATTAATGGTAGTGTTAGTTATAGGTGTTTATAAATGAAAGGAGTATTACAATGAACAGACATCTCATCTATTACAAATCAGAGACCTTCCTAATATAATTTTCAAATTTGGGAGCAGCAGTTAATCTTTGAATGTAAGACTTCCTCAAAGATACATCAGTTCAGTCAAGAGTGAGTGGCTTAAAAGGATGTACATACCAACTGTGTACTCTTGTTTATAGCAGCTGTTTGTCTAGGCCAGGTGAACTGCCAGGTGAGCTTTAATTCCTCATTAGTGCCTCCAATTCCCTGGGTTAATATGACTGCATAATATGACCCATCTTAAATATATGTATGTGTGTGTACATATTTATAAGGGAAAATTTATCCATACTTACCATAATTTCCTTTTCCTGGTCATATGCCATGGCAGGACAACGATGGGTAGCTCCTCCCTATCCCTAATGAGACAGGAACTAATTAAAATAAATGTATAAGTACCTCCTCCTTTCCCCTACTCCCTCAGTCTTGTTACTAGCAATATACCAGGGCAGGACCTTTGTGCTGCCATGGCATATGACCAGGAAAAGAAAATTATGGTAAGTATGGATACATTTTCCCTTTTCCTGGCCATATCCATGGCAGCACAATGATGGGTAATACCCAAGCAATAACCAAGGGAGGGAAGAAGAAATAAAGAACCACAGACTCAGAAATATCATATGCAAAGTGTATTGGTACCACAAACCAAGTGACAAACACCAATACTTCAGGAATCAAGGGTTTCATACAGAAAGGACACTTTTAGCAAATTGGTCCGAATAACCAGCTCTGACATCTACTTGGTAATGTCTGATGAAAGTATTGGCATAGGACGCAGGTGGCAGCTCTACAAATCAGCTCAGGAGAGACCTTGGCAGAGGAGGCCCAAGAGGAGGAAAGGGATCTCGTGGAATGAGCTTTGAGTCCATGCGGGACTGGAGCTTTCGAAGCCTGATAAGCTTAGATGATGGCTGAAACAATCCATCTGCTAATGGTAGATTTAGAAGCCTGACTGCCCTTTCTACATCAGTTATAAAGGACAAAGAGGCCTAGAGATGAATGCCAAGGGGCAGCTCTGTCAATGTAGATTCTGAGGCAACTCACCAAATCCATCACCATGTACTTGTGGAACTGGATGCAAAGCTGGGAGAACAATTTCCTCGTTAATATGAAAGGCAGAGGTGACCTTAGGCCGAAATTCTGGGGAAGTACAAATGACGACCCTGTCCTTATGGAAGACTGTGAAAGGCTCCTTGACCGACAGAGCATGAAGTTCCGAGACCCTTTGTCCTGAGGCCAAAGCCACCAGTAAGGCAGTTTTAATGGAGAGGAAATGGAAAGGCACTGAATCCAAAAGTTCAAAGGAGTGAGACTTTAGAACTTGGAGAAACAGAGGCAAGTCCCAAGGTGAAGCGAACAGCTTAATTGGAGGTCTGTTTTTTTGTACAGCTTTAAGAAACCTGGCCATATCTGAATCAAAGGCCCATTTGTGGTTAGTTAAAGCCGACAAGGCAGATATGTGAAAACCTTAAAGGTGTTGTAGCTCAGACCCTTCTCGAGGCCGGACTGAAGAAAGTCTTAGATATTCCCTGTGGAAGGACTCTGGATCAAGACATCTCTCGAGGAAGCCCAGGAAGAGAAAACGTCCCAAATTCTATAGTATGCGTTAGAAGTGGAACGCTTCCTAGCCCTGAGCAGGGTGTCTACCACCGCATGAGAGAAGCCCTTATTAAACAGCCTTAAACAGGACATTGACACAGAAGGTCTGGGACTCTCGGAAGACTCCAATGTGGCTCTACACAAAGGCTCTGCAGGAGAGGAAACCAGGGTCTGCGCGGCCAAAATGGGGCTATGAGTATGAGTGAGTTGCTAACAATCTTCATTCTCCTTAGAATGGGGAAAATCAGGGGAAAAGGGAGAAATGCATACCCCCCTCGAAATCGCCAGTTGCTGGAAAGGGCGCCCCTCCCCATGGCTAGAGGATCATTGTCCTTCGTGAAGAAACACTCCACCTTCCTGTTCTTTCGTGTCACAAACAAGTTCACTTGAGGAAGGCCCCATCTGTCCACTATCATTTAGAACACGTCGTCCGACAAAGACCACTCTCCTGGATCGATTCTGGATCTGCTGAGGAAATCCGCGATCTGATTCTGTTTCCCCGGAAGATGAATTGCTGTGAGGCCTACCAGGTGTCGTTGAGACCATGACATCAACTGATGCATAAATACCATCATCCTGCGGCTTCTGGTGCCACCCTGAAGGTTTATGTAGGCTACCACCACAGCATTGTCTGACCGAATCTTCACCCAACGGTGACGAATTAGCGGAGAGAAATGTTTCAGGGATTCGAGAACAGCAAAGAGTTCCAGGAGATTGGAAGGCAAGCTGTCCACAGGGAACTTCCACTCCTCCTGCGCGAAGTCGAGTTGACAATGGGCTCCCCAACCCCAATGGCTGGCATCCCTCGTTATTACTATCCACGGAACGTCTCCCAGAGGGAAGCCCTTGGCAAAGAAGACACTGTTCAACCACCAAATTATGGATTTGTGAACTGACAATGGAATCTTGATGTGCTGGAGTAGACTCTTTGAGGAGAATTGGAGGAGGAAGTTCGCCTGAAAGCTCCTCATTCTCCATTGTGCCCACCTTGTCAGTCCTATCGTGGAGGACATGGAACCCAGGAGACTCATCGCCTTCTTTGCTGAAGTCACCTTGCATACTAACATCTCCACAACCTGTTTCTGTATTCTCAGGATCCTCTCTGGGGAGAGTTGAACCGTCCCCATGGTAGTGTCGAACAGAGCACCCAGACTGACTCGGGCAAGAGATGGCTCTTTTTGACATTGATCCTCCAACTGTGACGTTGTAAGAACTGAAGGTAATGGAAGATGGATATGCCCTGTTTTCTCAGTTCAGCAATGAGAACAACAAGCACTTTCATGAAGGTCCTGGGAGCCGTGCTGAGACCAAAGGGCAAGGCCCTGAATTGGAAATGAGCCTCCCCTACTGCGAACCTCAGATATTTCTGATGCTCCAGGGCTATAGGGATGTGGAATAGGCATCCAACAAGTCTATTGATAACATCCACTGATTGGGAAAGACAGCCTTCACTATAGATTGAAGGGACTCCATCTTGAATCTGCGGATATGCAAGTATCGATTCAGTCTGTGTAAATTTAGGATGGGTCTCCACCCTCCCGAGGACTTTTCGGTCAGAAATAGATGTGAATAGAAGCTGTGAGTCCTTTCTGACTCCGGGACTGGTACAATGACTCCTTTTTGTAGAGAAGAAGTGAAGACCTGGAGAGCAAGCCTTTTTACACTGTCTCCTGGCCACTTTGTGATTTGGAAGGAACTGGAAGGAGGGTTTTTGCAAAATTCTAGAAGATATCCCCTTCTGATGATATCGAGAACCCAGTTGTTGCATACGGATTTCTCCCATGCCACACAGAGTTGGAACAAGTGAGCTCCAACACCGCCTGACAAGGAGATGAGCCCACCACAGATTCCTGGGGTTCTTGGAGGGTGCGGAACCTCAGAACTTGCTGCCTCTAGCACCATGTTGACTGCTCCTCCAGGATTGACTTCTCCCATATTCCTTACCCGGTCTGTAGGATCTGCTATCACGAAACGGGTAATAGTCCCTTTTTGCACGAAAGGAACCTTTAGGCCTGTTGTCTTGATGCAGAAAGGCCTTTTTACCTTCGGCTGCTTGTTTAATACAATCATCCAGATTCTTGCCGAATAACATGTTGCCATGAAAAGGAAGGGAGCACAAGCTGCCTTTGGAGGAAGCATCAGCAGACCATGATCTGAGCCATAGCGTTCTCCTGGCCGAAACTGAGAGAGCCATATTTCTGGCTAAGGACCTCACCAGATCCACCGCAGCCTCAGATGAGAAGTCAACAGTCAATTTCAAATCTTTTAGGCTGTCCAGTATGGAGGGACGGCTCCTGCCGTTCTTAATATCCTCCTCCAAGTTCTCCATCCAAACCTTAAGCGCCCTGGATACTGATATAAGGGCCAACTCTGGGTGCAGGCCAGTACCTGAAGCCACATATGCTTTGGAAAGACTGAAGTCCATCTTTCTGTCCATAGGGTCTTTGAAGGAACCCGCATCATCAACAGGTAAAGTGGTACGTTTGGCCAAACTAGCCACGGCCGCATCTACCTTGGGAGCGGAATTTCCCACGCCTCAGCGTCAGTGTCCTCAAAAGCATACAGTCTGTAAAATCTCCCTTTTGCACAGGATTTTCTGTCCGATATGGATCATTCCTCCCTGATGAGGTCTTTTATAGTCACATGGACTGGAAAGGTCGCCCTCTTCCTCCTAAAGGCTCCTCCTTAGATGATTCCTTCAAACGGAGGGTTTTGCGGACCCTGGATATCAAATGGTCAATTTCTGTAGTTTCCAGGAAATCTGGAGCTGAAAGCACCTCATCCTCAGAAGAAAAACCCAGGTCTCTCAGGGATTCCATAGTCATACACTCCACATCAGAGACGCCTGGAGAACACTCCGAAGGTTCTAAACACCTTGGTCGCTTGTAAGACTTCCCAGCTTCCTGAATGCCCAGAGCGACTGCTTGTGAAATATACTGCCTTATGTCAGGCGCAGGTTGGATGGAGGATTGCCTTTGAGATGGGCCTGCCTCCACAGATAGACAAGAAAAACAGAGACGTTTCCCCTCCAAGGCTCTGTTATGACAGGATTCACACTGTGTCCTTTTGGGCGACTTCCCTTTGGACGACACTGAAGCTCTAGTCCCCCTAGAACTGCAGAAACAGGGACAGAACAGTGTATCAGTGATCCACACTCTTTTAAATGCTAGATAAAACAAACCAGAAAATACATGGCTTACCTATAAAACTTAGGTTGTGACCTTTTGTTCTGTGGGGAAGAATCAGAATTAGAGGAATTTGAGACTTCCATATCCATCTGCAGAACCAAATGCAAGAAAGAATCTCAAATTGAAATTTAGAACAAATTGAAGGATACCACTTTAAAAAATAAAAAGACCGTTACCTTAGTGAAAAGCAGACAAAAACGAAAATCAAGCAGGAGATAGGAGGAGGCAATGCAACATTCGCGAGAACGATTCCCACGAGTGTGAACCAGGGGGCTGTTTAATAGGCATCTGATGTCACACACAGAGCTCCTGTGTCAATTAGACAAATGAACAGATGAACGAACAGACGAACGAGCCATTCGTGTGAACAAACGGACGTTCCCCAGAATTCATGCGAACGGCTAAAATTCATAAGAATGTCAAAATTTCAGGGGAACGGCTAAAGGCACGAACGGACACAAAACCAATCAGCAAACCATACGAACGCATGTGCGTTCGAAAAAACGAATGCCAAGTGAAAGAAACCACAGGGACTTACCCCATCAGAAGGACGGCGGAAAAGGCAGAGGGAAGTCGGAAACAGGGAGAAGTCCAGACCAGCAAGGTACACGTCCAAGTCCATATTCGCCTGCCCACTGATACCCCTAGGGTCACTGCAGCATTAGGGAACCTAACAGCTCTCTACCCCTTGGGTTACAGAAAGTACCAGACCCCCGGTCACTAAAGGGGTACTCTCCAGGGGGTCACCTTTGCACAGGGCCGTGTAACTGGAGACTTTCCAAGGGAGAAAGGCTGAACTCCCAAGAGGCCAGCGGAACAAATCACCAAGTAAGCCATAAAAGAAAAATAATAGTTCCAAGAAAAAAAATCACATGTCCCATAGGGATAGGACAGGAACAAAAAGACTGAGGGAGGAGGAGATAGGGGGAGGTACTTCTACATTAATTTTAATTAGTTCCTGTCTAATTAGGGATAGGGAGGAGCTACCCATCGTGTTGTGCTGCCATGGATATGGCCAGGAAATATATAAATATATATATATATACATATACATACATACATTTACATTTGTGTGTGTGTATATATACACACACATACACATATATTTAATATGGGTGCTGCCATGCAGTCATATTAACCCAGGGAATTGGAGGCAGTAATGAGGAATTAAAGCTCACTTGGCAATGTTATATAAGCTTGCTATACTGTTATAAACACATATGTATGTTTATAACAGTATATTGTTATATTGCTAGCCATTAGCACTTGCATAAACTTGGGCCAGCAAAGGCACTGCACAATTCTAGCCTCCTGCCGAACTCTGCAGTACAGTGCCAACATAAATCCCAACACACATATTGCTCTTTTAATCCACAGAATAAATGTGTGAAGCTACTATCCATAACTCCTTACTAGCTCCCTCTCGACACACAAACCACTATGTCTGGCACCAACAATCAATTCACAGTTGAAATATCTTAGAGCCCATTTTTGCAGATACTTGCATTAATAAGTAGGTATAGAGTCATACCCAAACATTTGCCACTGAATATCATGACTATTTGTCCCCTAACCATTTTATCCCCTTTTCTCTGCACCCCTCACTCCCTTGTATGTAACTCCTGTTTTCACATAGCCCCCTTATGTACCCCATCCTAAACCCCTGTTATCTCCTCTTATGTTTCTTAATGCTCCATTACACTCTCCTAATCCCACTTACCACAAATACCAATACTGTAGTGTAGCTGTGTTAGACTGAAGCAGAGTATCTCCACATTTAACATCAGGGAAGTCCAAAGGCTGTGTGGAATCGGGGCCAGAAGATCAGGATATTATGTTCAGTTATTTTTCTGCCCCCTCCACTCACTCTGCACACCACTTGGAGCTCCCTGATTGTCCAGGAACATGTAGATCCTCTACGATAACCCTCCTGACCCCACTTAAAGATAGTGCTGGAAGGGGTTACTATGTGCATCCTTTTGGCTGGGTGGACTTCACTACTTTAGAACTCTACCATTTTTATCATATAATGATATATCACATACATCAAATACATCAGAGACCAGATTTAGATATTACATTCTCATTCTTGCTGTCTCTACAAGAATAATAACAGGTGCCATAAAAATAGAAACACAATACAGGGCCTCTCATTGTCAATGCTCTGAATCCACCAAGCCACCAGTGCTATTCTTCAGTACTTTGCATGCAAGTGCGTGCATGTGGCTTTGACTTTTTGACAACGTGATGTTATTTACTCGAAATATAGTTCCTTTTAAATCTGAATTGGATGAGTGAACTATTGAGCCTTCCAATTTCACATATGAAAGCAATCTACCTATGGCAGACATGGAACATAGAACTGACAGGTTGAATGACGACAGTGAATGAACGGGAAAGATGGACTGCCTATTTCAATCCACTACTTAAAATCGCCTGTCAATGATCACAAAAATACAAAACCAGGAAAGGTGTAGTTCATGGAACATTCTTTTGGGAACAAACAAATCATAATTGGATAAAATAAAACAATGATTTACATGTGTGATATGCAAATAAATAACATTTAAATAAAACGATCACTAAACCCCCCTGCCCCTCAAACAAATCAAATTATTAAAAAAGTTTTTCCAAGCGTTCATTAAATGTAATTATAATAATTACAAGTTTCATATTAGTGATACAAACAATGTGCTATATGAAATCAGTCTGGTATTTTGCATGTTCAAACATTTTCATGCTTATTTAATTGGATACTCTAGTCATCAAACAACTTTAGTTTAACCCCTTAAGGACTGAGCCAAATGTACACATTGTGATCAAAATAAAACGTAAACAAAACCTGGAATTTGACTATATGTCTGCTCAACCGTAATTCACCTCTTTTATATTAAGTGCACCCACACTTATTATATATAATTTTATTTAACATCAAATATTTAGCTATGAAACATAATTTAAAAGGAATAAAATATAAAAAAAAGGGAGAAAATTTTTTTTTTTGTTCTACATGACATTTTAACTGTGAATGTCATAATACTGTTTGGTTTTACTGCAATAAAATACACACATTTGTATTCATAGTTGAAAATAGACTTGCGTCCATCAAGGTCAGCCTTCCTCACATTTGTTTTTTGCTGTTGATCCAAAAGAAGGCAAAAAACCCAGTTTGAAGCACAATTTTGCAACAAGCTATGAAAAAAATTCCTTCTTGACCCCAGAATGGCAGTCAGATTTATCCTTGGATCAAGCAGTTATTACCCTACATTGAAAGATTATATCCTTGAATATTCTGTTTTTTGCAAGTATGCATCTAGTAGCTGTTTGAACATCTGTATGGACTCTGATAAAACCACTTCTTCAGGCAGAGAATTCCACATCCTTATTGTTCTTTCAGTAAAAAAACCTTTCCTTTGCCTTAGACGAAATCGTCTTTCTTCCAGTCTAAACGCATGACCTTGTGTCCTAAGTCCGGTTTGTGAATATATTTCCACACAATGGTTTGTATTGGCCCCGAATATATTTGTATAATGTTATCATATCCCCTCTCAGGCGACGTTTTTCTAAACTAAATAGGTTTAAATTTGTTAACCTTTCTTCATAGCTGATATGTTCCATTCCTTTTATTAATTTTGTAGCCAGCCTCTGCACTTTTTCT